GGCTGCCATTCAGAGTGACCTAGGCAGGCTGAAGGAATGGGCCTACAAGATGCTTGTGAAATTCAACAGGGACAAGTGCAAAGTCCTGCATCTGGGAAGGAAGAATCCCTTGCAGCAATGCAAGCTGAGGACTGACTGACTGGGGAGCAGCTCTACAGAAAAGGACCTGAGGGTTTTGGTAGATAGCTTGGTAGCAAGCTGAACCTGAGCCAACAGTGTGCCCTGGCAGCAAAGAAGGCCAAACAGTATCCTAGGCTATATTAACAGGAGCATAGCAAGTATGTCAAGCCTGTTCACAGTGGTGCATGGTGGGTGAACAAGAGAAAGCAGGCATAAGTTGAAACAAGAGGGACAGTCACCATGGGGACAGTCAAGCAGTGGGTTGCCCAATGTGTTTGTGCAGTCTCCATCCTTAGAGGTTTTCAAGACCAGTCTGGATAAAGCCCTGAGTAATCTGGTCTGACTTCATAGCTTACCCAGCTCTGAGCAGGAGGTTGGACTAGATGGACTCCTGAGGTGCTCCTCGCTTCCAATCTGAATTTTCCTGTTATCCTGTGATCCTAAAAATGTTTACCAAGTTCTTTTAATTCTCTCCTTTTAAAAAATATTATTTAATGTCCATTGAACTAGTGTAGAATGTTCGACGTTCTGCTAAGTAATTGTAAAGCTATCGACTTTTTTTTTTTAATAACCTTTCTCTGCTGTCTGGTTTCTGGAATGATTATTTTTATTTTATCTCTCTGTTCTATTTAGATACCCCCCAGAATGGAGTTTGGAAGTTACAGATAGGGTCATTCTTGGTCTATCAAAAGAGAAGGAAAGTAATCCTTAAGCTGCCTAAGTGCAGCTCGGTGAAAATAGTGTGGGACAAGAAGCTCTATTGCTGCTTGTAATTATGTTAGGGAGAAAGAGGCTAAATAGTCCAGCAGATATACGTGTTTATGCTGTGGAGAAAGAGTAGTAATTGAAGAACCCTATTGTGTTTGTGTGTATGTTTGAAGAACAGGCAGTTTCACAATTGCTTCACTTCCCTGTCATCAGTAAGCCTCAGTTTAAGATGGGGCAGGCCAAAAGAACATATTTTGGGTCCAAAAAGCCTGTATCACCTCTTTTATTCCTGTTGACTTTGATATCGTGTTTCTCCAATGGCAAGGCTCATGATCAGGAATATGCCCTAAGAATTCTAGGCCTTGTCGTTAACTTCGTTTTGCTATGTTATTATACTGATGTTCTTTATGATCTGATAAGTACCTCCAGTTCAGGGTTATGACCTTTTTTTTTCAGCTCAAACATTTATGAAAAAGGAAAGGAGCAAAGGATAAGGGAGTTTTTGTGCTTCTCCCTGAATGGCCTAATTAGAGGCGGAGGCCACAGTATTAGAAATGCTTAAAATTAGGTGGTTAAAATCATAGAAAATTTATAACAAGAAACAACTTTATCTTAACTGAGAAATTCAATGCCTAGAACCTAAAAGGTTGCCTAAAATTCTGGATATTATTATATCTGCACCTTAGAAATTATATCCAGGCCACAGGAACAGTCCATTTATTGTATTGAAATATTAGAGAATGAGTATTGTGAATTCAGTGCACATGATGGAACAAAATTTGGAAAAACATATCATAGAATCATAGAAAGTTGAGTTTGGAAGGGACCTCTGGAGGTCTGTAGTCCTTCCCCCAACCCCTTCTTAGAGCAGGGTCAGCTCGAGCAGGTTGCTCAGGGCCTTGCCCCATAGTGTTTTGAGTATCTTCAAGCATGGAAACTCTACATCCTCTCTGGGCAATTTGTTCCAGTGTTTGACCACCTTTACAGTAAAAAAAGTTTTTTCTTAATGTTTAAGAGGAATTTTCCATATTTCAGTTTGTGCCCATTGCCTCTCATGCTGTTACTGGGTGCCACTGAGGAGAGTCTGACTCCATCGAATCAGGACTTAATGAAATTCCTGGTTTTGTGATTTTATTTTTTAAGATTGGTTCCTGAGAGTCTGAAATCTTCATGTACATCACTGGATGTGATGGGGAGAGGGGAGGGAGATTGAGTAGTTTATTTCAGATCTTTATTTTTCTGTTAATTTAGCTGTTAAAATGAGGTTTGGCCTAACTGTGGCTAGTGAAAGAAGTTGTGCTTCAAGGAAAATTGCAGCAAAAACAGAACAAAAGCACAGTTCTGTTGCATGTTATATATGCAATAGATCTGCTCTACTCCTCCCAGAAAATTTTGTGAAAGCAGTTAGTATGACATAGTGTCCTGCAGGCATATCCTGAAAAGCAAGAGGTAGATTATCGGGAGAGGAGAGGCAGTGGAGAGAAATTGTTTGGTGTTGCTGAAAGAGTGATCTCTCCTTTGAAATGCAGATGATTAATTCTCCTTAAACTAGAGCATACAAGCTAGATAACAAGATTGTAATTGTACATGCTAATCTTGCAGAGTTCCTTGGTTGTCGTCTCTTCATTCATTATTTCAAAGTCATGCTGTAAAATACAGTGCACGTGTTTCGCAGTGAGGGTGGCCAGGCATCAGAACAGAGGCTCAGAGAGGTGGTGGAATCACCATCGACATTCCGAACTTGACCAGACAAACTCTTGTGCAACCTGATCTAATTTTTTGTACAGACAGACGTGTTTAAGCTATTTCTGTGGTTAAAGGAAAAATTGTTCATTATCATGAGGGGAGAGCAGTGGATGTTGTCTACCTGGACTTCAGCAAGGCTTTGGACACTGTCTCCCATCACATCCTCCCAGGTAAACTCAGGAAGTGTGGGCGAGGTGGGTGGACGGTGAGGGGGCTTGAGAACTGGCTGGATGGCCGAGCTCAGAGGCTTGTGGTGAATGGCGCAGAGTCTAGTTGGAGGCCTGTAGCTAGTGGTGTCCCCCAGGGGTCCGTCCTGGGTCCAGTCTTGTTCAATATATTCCTCAATGACCTGAAGGAAGGGACAGAGTGCACCCTCAGCAAGTTTGCTGATGATACTAAACTGGGGGGAGTGGCTGACACACCAGGTGCAAGGTCCTGCACCTCGGGAGAAATAATCCCATGCAGCAGTACAGGCTGGGGGTTGACCTGCTGGAAAGTAGCTCTGCCGAGAAGGACCTACCTGGGAGTGCTGGTGGACAACAAGTTAAGCGTGTGTGCCCTTGTGGCCAGGAGGGCCAATGGTCTCCTGGGGTGC